AAAAATTCATGTCTCTAACTATTCATTGGGGCTACCAAAAAAGGCCATAATGGCTAGTAGCAGCAATAGCGGGACACAATTGACACTATTTTTAATTTTTTTTAGAATTTAATTTAAGAAGATTTTTTTCGTCATAAAGCATTAAAATTTCAATAAAGGTTAACAAAGTAAAACCCCAAACAAAGAAAAGAAATCCTAAATTTACAATGACTCAATAAAAAGCCAACCTCAATCAAAGGTTAAGAAAAAAATATTGAAATCAAGTAATAATAAAAAACTTAAAATTACCTTTTTTTCCTTGTTTAAGTTTATGCAAATTTGTGCAATATAGGACTTAGAAGAACTTAGAGCTTAGAGAGATTTTGCTTCAAACTTTGAAATTTCAAAAACCCATCCATGAGCACTCTGTGGTCATTAGTTTAGGATTATACAGGTTGGATTAGAGAAAAACTTAGATAAGTCATGGCATTGATTGGGTGAAAAGTTGGATGAAGGCGGAAGCTTGGAGGCTGGTTGGCTGCCATGGCTAGTGGATGGTTTCCAGGAACTATAGGAAGCAAGGGTTGAGAGAAAAACAAAAGAAGTTTGAGTCGAAAGATTTGGAGAATGCGGGGGAATTTTGCACTTTTAATTGCAAGAAATATTTAAGTGTAGTGGCGACTTTGGTAGGCATTAAGTTCGGTTAATGCTTGACCAATAAAAAATTATTATTATTTTTTAATTTAGGGGCAAAATTTTGGGGGAGAAATAATTGGTTAAAATTGAAAAGTTTTGGGAATTAATTTTGACTTAGATTGAGAAATTTGAGATGAAAAAGTTTAATGTAAACTTGAAAGGTATATTATACTATAATTTAGATGAAAATAAATTAAATGATTAATATATTGATTTAGATTTAGATTTAGATTTTAGTAATGATTTTATTGTTTTGATATTGATAAGTTGTTAATTTTTTAAATATGAATATTTTACTATAATATTAAAAAATTGTAAATATTATTATATATATAATAATATAAGGTGTCATTAATTAGTGTAAAAATCATAAAAAATAAATTTTTATGATTATAATTATAATTACAATGTTTTATAATAAATTACGAAAATTTTTAAAAAATTCACAATTGTGATAATCACAATGACCGTGATGATATCCATTATATCTGTAATAGCGATAAACGTAATACAACTGAAAAATGTCTGCGATTGTAATTTAAATCCCTAACCTTGCTCACAAAATATTCTTACCTTTGCCTTCTTTTTTCTTTCTAAATCAAGACCAAACTAATAGCTTGGTTGGTGGTGGCCAAAGACAAGTACAATGTTTCATTAAACCTTCGCTTGGAAAGGATAGGTGGAAAGGAGAGAAACTCTTTAAGCTCATTAAATGCTTTCTGACACTAAAGGGTCCATCTGAAGTCAGAAATTTTCATGAAGATTTTGAAAAATGGCAAGTATCGTTATATCGACTTAGACATGAACCTGCTCAGAGTGGTTATTCTTTCGATTAACCTTTACACCTCTTTCATTGAGTCTTTCATGTCTAAGATGGCTTAAACCTTCTATGGATTTACCTCTATCTCTTTTTTATTGATCATGTAGCTAAGAAATTTGTTCGACATGACTTTAAAGGTGCAATTGCTTGGATTAAGCCTCATATTGTATTTTCTCAAGGTATTAAAGGTTTCCTTTAGGTCTTTTAGGTGCTTAACTAGACTCTTACTTTTCATATTATGTCATTCACATATACTTCCATGTTCCAACCGATTTGATTTTTAAAAGCCTTGTTGACTAACCTTTGGAGGTTGCTTTTGTGTTTTTCAGCCCAAATGGCATGACTTTGTAGCAATAGAGGCCTTCTCAATAATAAAGGCCATTTTTTATTCGTTTTCTTTTAACATTTTGATCTGATTGTTGCTATATATTCTTAAGGTAATGAAGGCATTTCCTTGTCTCAATTTTTTCCTCATTGAATATGGCCTTTCTCTATTGCTTCATTCTCTTTTTCAATTTTTTTGGTCTCAACCGAACTATCAGCCTATTTTTCAATCATTTCTTTCATCATTGTAACATAACATTGTCATGTTATAGACTGGTCTCCCCTTACCTCTTTAGCTCTATAAGGCATTGGGTAGCTGAACAATCGTGTTCTTCTTTTCTAAAGGCCAAAAAAGCTACTATTTCTTCGTAACTCCATTTTCTTTCTACTTCCTATCGACTAGAGCTGACTAGATCGGGCACCTTTAAGGCTTGGGATAGGGTTATGGTGTGCAACATTTGTTTTAAGGCTTGTATCTATTTGTCTAAGTTTTGAAATTGTTCCGTGGTTGGATCGGTCTATTATGGAGTAGGTCGATCAGTGGGCTAGCTATTATATGTCTCTGTTGTAGCCAGAGCGATTGGCTATCTTTCCTTGTTGGCTCTCTTCTTGAGAAGCATGGTTTACAGATCGGCTTGAAAGTTCGATAGCCCTTACCTAGTGCGCCAAATGTTGGTGTTGAACTCCAAACTGAGGGCAAACTTGGGATCACAAGGAAAGAAAGAGAATGATGAGAAGCAAAGGCATGAGGTATTCTCTATGTCATAATCTTAGAAAGGAGCCATGAATCCCACATTGGTTGTGTACTAGAATTGGTTATGGGATATAAAGTCATGCGATATAAAGGTTCACACCACATTTTTTTTCTGAGGTACCTTTTGTATGACAAAATCATGAGATTAAAGGGAGTCGAAGCAGACAATACCTCACAAGGGTGTGAACCATAATAGTTAGGCTAATCTGGGACATCGGATGAGTCCATGCCAAGGTTCTGGAGTTGCACAAGCCTGGAGGTTGAGTCTCGACCTATGATAAATGGTATCAGAGCCAACTCTAGGGGTACTAATGATGTGCCACCGATGATCGTAGGCCTTCATTAAAGTAGGAGAGGATGTCATGGTCCTAGAAAAGAGCCATGAATCCCGCATTGGCTGTGTACTAGAGTTGGTTATAGGATATAAAGGTTCACACCACTTTCTTCTTATGAGCTGCCTTTTGTAGAACAACATCGTAAGGTCAATGGGGGCCGAAAATAATAACTCACAAGAGTGTGAACCGTGATAGTTAGGCTGATTTGGGATATCGGATGAGTCCATATCTAAATCTTAGTGTCACGGACCTAAGGGGGAGTCTTGAATCCCACATCGAACATAATAGGAAGGTCACTGGGGTATAAAAGGGTTCACACCATTTTCGCCTTGTGAGGTACCTTTTGTAGGACAAAATTGTGAGGCTAGGGGGGCCAGAGCGGACAATACCTCACAAGGGTGTGAACCGTGGCAGGAAGGCTGATCTGGGACGTCGGAAGGGTGAATCTCGGGTCCCGGAGCAGTGCAGGTTCGAAGCTTAAGTCTCGACCCGTGACAAGTGATATCAGAGTCAGCCCTAAACCGTTTGATCCACGTCAAGCACCTCGAGGGAGGTAGGCAGGGTGGCCAGCCTCCGTGACGAGGCCGTCATGAGGTTGGGTGTGGGAGAATGTCACGGACCTAAGGGGGAGTCCTGAAACTCACATCGAACATAATAGGAAGGTCACTGGGGTATAAAAGGGTTCACACCATCTCTGCCTTATGAGGCGCCTTTTGTAGGACAAAACCGTGAGGCCAGGGGGGCCAGGGGGGCCAGAGCGGACAATACCTCACAAGGGTGTGAACCGTGGTAGGAAGGCTGATTTGAGACGCCGGAAGGTTGAATGCCCAGGTCCCAAGCCGCACGGGTTCGGAGCTTAAGTCTCGACCCGTGACACTAGAGCTGTACAAGCCTAGAGATTGAGTCTCGACTCATGACACTTGCACTTGCATTCCGATGCGCAAGTTAAAGATCAATATGAAAGAAGTCGGAAAGAAAAAAAATAGAAACTTGAGAATAATAATGGAATGAAATGATAATACCTGAATGTCCATATTTATAAGCAGGAAGCGAGGGACATTTAGGGGATAAAAGTGACATGGCCAAGCTAACGTTACCCTAAACATGTTAAATCAGTTTGACATGCCAGATTGATCCAAATGTCTATAATATCTCTCATTATTTGTTGATCGTCTTTAATAAAAAAAAGTCAAAAAACTAGCTAACATAGTGGCCATTATAAACTAATTTGGCAAATAATTTAAGTCATGATCTAGACTGCGTTCTGATCGGTGCCAGAGAACATTCAACTAGATGTAATTAATTGATAATGTGAGTTTATTGTTTCCCGAAAGAAATAAAACCAATATTTTGAATTTTATGTGTTATACACAATGTAGGGAGATCAACTTCATTATAAATGCATAACTGTTTTTTAACATCATAAAAATTTCAGTCATTAATTTATGCTGAAACGCATAGTATTCTTGATAGATATCTTAATTAACTTTAAAAATATTTTTATATGTTCACGATTAGTACGAAAATATTGTTAAACCTGATAGCTGGTTTGGTTTGTCAAATATTATTTGTAAAAGGGTGTAAAAATTACAATTTTCAAATTAAGCAATTATTTATAAAATGCTTTAACTTGTGATCTTTTCCATTGGTATAAAAAACTATTACATTTTACATTGCAAATTATTGTTTCACTAATAAAATTTTTAAATTCTACAAATGGTGTTAGATGTAATTACGATAAGTCCTTTGATTTATCATATTACTTTATTAATTTTTTAATAATATATTTTAATGGGTAAAACAACTTTTGTAACTCCATTTTCTAAAGCAACCACTCCGCTGGACGTATATAGGGTAACAATCTTCTACATAATTTCGGATAGATAAAAGGGTTTGGAGAGAAGAAGAAGAAAAGCCAGCTAAGAAAGGCAAAGACCCAAATCGTTCGATTACGCTCGAGGCTACGCTGTTGGAAGTTATCTACCTTCAGTTCTCGCACTACACCTTCAGTTCTCGCACTACATTTAACTTACAGATATATATAGTTATCTACCCTTGTGATTTTACTATTGGGCTTTGACTAATTAAAAAATACGGTTGACTAATTGAAAGATTCCAAAAGGAAATCATGACCGGAAAAAAGCAAGTTGAACGGAAGGTTACCAGAAAGAAACAGCATGAGCTGAGTCCGAGGAAGCTAGATCTGGTACTCAAATTTTCTTCGCAAATCCTCAGGTTTAATATTTTGTTACTTGTTTTTTTCTTGACAAATCTGACTACCCTTTGCTTTCAACTTTGTTTCTACGATTAAAGAAGAAGGAAAAGGAACAAGTAAAATTGTTGGGAGGATTGGTAGCTGAGATGACGGCAGTGCAAGCGGAGCTGACAAAGCGAATGGATGACAGTCTGCTGAAACTTGAAGGTAACACAAATCCAAATCCTGAAGGCCTGCAAATTGAAGCTTACCAACTCAAACAAGTCAATATTTTGGGGGCACTGTTGAATGCTAAGGTCCAAGATTACCTTGACGGTTTGCTTGATGTTTTCGATCGACCAAGCTGGTGAAGACAAAGTCCTTTGATCTGGTGCGTTCCCTCAATAATCATTCTCTCTTTCTCTTGCTCTTAATGAAGACGAAACTAATCTGTAACCCCCGAGCAACTCCCCTCAACCACCAACAAACACAGGTACCTCTTAGGTTCAGCCAAAAGTAGAGTGACTCGATTGAGATGAAATTTTTATTGCTTGGTGGTAAGTCTGGAGCTTGATTCTATTGACTGGTACAATCGGAGTTTTCGTGACTGTTTTCATATATGTTAACTATGACTGATTGTACCAGGAGATGGGGTTTATATCCTGTTGTAATATTCTTAAATTGGGATTTTTTTGAACTTGGGGCATAGTCTAGTTGGTTATTGTGCTAGAATTGGGATTTTTTTTAGTATTGTGCTAGATGTTTTTTATGCTGTTTCTGGTATGACTTGTAACTATGTTTCTTGTTGAGATTCTTCTATCTCATTGATGATGGTCTTTTGATTTCTAATTAATAAAATTATGACTTAGCAAAAAAAAAAAAAAAAGTCTAGTTAGTTCATGCAATTTTTCTTAAAAATGACAGTGCAGTTGCTAACGTACGTGCTTGTGTCAGGATTTCTTTCCTTGAATGAGTTCCCTCCTCTCGCGGAGAAATTCCTTCTTTCTTTTTCTGCTTTTTATCGGTGTCTTTGCATAGGCCTACCTTCTTATTGTTATTGTGTTAGGGCAATTTCCCTCATTCCAATCTCAACTGTAGACCTGCTAGTCCATTCCTTAAGAATTGGCTAAGCAAAGCCATCCAGATGTTGTTTCGGTAGGCCTTCTTCTAAGTCCTATAAAATAGGGCGATGGACTTCTTGGAAATGTTGTAAGCTTTCTCGACTTCGAAGTCTTTCTCACATTCTCGCAAGTATGATAGAGCAAAGGATTCATCCTGTCTAGCGGTCCAATCTCTGTGCTGGAAGTGGTCTAGTCTGTAAATCACTTTTCATTTGACTGGTGATTTCGTCTGATATCTGATCTCTCTATCAATTGGGCTGGTAAGAGAATTGTTATCTTTTCCCTTCATTCAAAAAAATTCCTTGGTAGATCAGAAAAAGATTCATGCTGACTACATACCGGGAATCGAACCAAAGAGGTGTGTTTGTTTCGTCCCAAATCAAACCCTATTCTTCCATCAGACTAAATCTTAATTTACTTTTTTTGTCTAGTTTAATGTATGGTACTTTATAGATGATATCAATTAATTTATTATTCCTCTTTATTGGAATGTAGGGATCTAAGGACGAATTGAAACATTTCAGCTGGTTGTTCAAGTAATGGAGATTCCTACATTCATATTTATTGTTGTTTTCTTGGCCAATATGTTGTTGTGGTTTTTGACAGTGTGTAATATAAAGAAAAACTTGTAATGTTCTTGTTTACTTAAATTCAACCCTCCTTTTATTTTCAAACTGTAACTTCTTTCCGTAAAAAAACAATAAATAAATAAATGTAAAATATGATTGTGTTTTGAACTTTTGATAGCCAATGTTTGAATTATGATGTGGGTCAGATCCTGTGTAGATGTACTACAGTTTAAGCTCACTATCAACTATAAGGAGGGCTCATCCTAGCCTACAGCATGAGTGCATCGTGACAACATCATAGATAGGCTGTCCACAGGCCTGAATGATCTGGGGTCGATGGGCGTGGCTTCACTCTACTGGACTTAAACAGTTAAACGTGATTTTCGGAGGCCGGTTTGGCTCTGAAAATATTATTATATTAATAAATTTTAATTTTAAAGTATTAATATAATAAACTATAAAATAAATATAAAATAAATGCTTGAGTTCGGGTCATGTCCTATTGGTGCAGACCGGTTAAGGTAAGTTTTTCATTGTCAATGGCGTTTGACTTGATCGTGGACATTCCTAATCAAAGGTGTTATATAATGTCATATATTGGAGCAGAAAGCAAGTTGAAACTTTGGATGGAATCTGACTTCGCTTGCATGGAAAGGACCAAGCTAGGTGTGACATATTCTTATACCTCATCCTAAGGGTTTTCGAATGGCGCTAGGATTGAATTTGAAGACAAGAACTCGAGAGGCAAAGAGCCATGAGTGGCTAATTGAACTCAAATCTGATAATACACAGGGAAAATATTGAGTGAGTACGGATTTGATATACAAATGTTTGACCTAAACATCATTGCCTATATATGTAAGCAGCTTCTCATGAATCTGTAACTATTTGTCCGTTGATAGTAAACTATGAGTACCCAATTTTTCACACCTTGTTAAAATTTTCAACGACATAAAGAAATTTCATCACAAGAAGAAAAAGCGAAAGCAAACATATTTGACTTAAGTTTCTTTTTTTATAGTAAAATTTTCTAGTAAAAAAAAGTGGAGGAAGAAGAAGAAGATAGTAAAAATTGAGTTAGAAGTGCAGTATGAGGGGGAGAGAAGCAAGGAGAAGGAGATGAAAATAGTAAACCGACCGACTATTAAGATTGTAATGCCCATATTCGATCTAATCCGATTAAATTATGTACTTGCTTTTTTTTTTTTAATGTTTTACAAGCATTAAAACAATAAATCTTTGAAATTTGGAAAATAAAAGAAAGAAGGAAATATCAAAATTTGACATTGAGAGTACAAAAAGTTAAAACTCACATGCAATTAATGAAATGGCATAGTCAACTAACTAGTTGTAGGCGTTTAGCTTTAGGGTTTTGCCTTCTCTCTCGAGTCTCTCTCGCCAACATGGTCGTTCTTGTTGTTAGGAAAATAGGGTCCAATCTCATATAATTGGCTTTGGATCAATCAAAAGCTATGGGTCTTAGTCTTTTTTTTTACATAAAGCCCCAATTACTTAATAAAAGAGGTTGGGCTATTTTAAGATAGTGTCGCAAACCAAATAAAGAAAGAAGAAAAGCTAGAAAAATGGAGAGAAAATGGAGAAAGGAGAGTTGGTTGAACGAAAGTCGATCCGTGGTCCGATTAAGCTGAAATTTTCTCAGTAGGTTTATGATTCAAAGTTTCACATTCTAAACGGTAAAGATTAGGTTTGAAGCTCTCTAAGAACAAATTTAGTGTGTATTTGTTAAGTCATCTATTTGGTAAAATTTTTTCAGTTGTCTCTCTCTAGTTATTGATTAGATCTAGTTTTAGCTAGAAAAGAACTTTGTATATCTATTATTTGATAGTAAAGAATTTTTTGGTAGTACATTATTTTTCCCTCTACACTGAAGGGTTTTTCATATAAATCTTAGTATGCTTTATTTTTCTTACATTATTGATCATTGATTGTTATCTATTACTATGAGTTTATTACGATATATTGCTTCTGTGTTATTGTGTTTATTGCTTCAAGCCCAACAAGTGATATCAAAGTGAAGGAGATATTAATACAAAAGTAGCCCAAGATAGAAGTAAATTTTGTTTGAGATCATGAAGGGTGATACAAGTTTTATGATAAAATTGATAACATCAAATTATTCAATTTGAAAGCCTATGATAGAAGATCATTTATACTACAAAGATTTCGTATGAGCCAGTATTGGATGATTCAACTAAACCAACAAATATGAAAGATGAAAATTGTAAGAAGTTAGGCAAAAAAAATACTGGCTGCAATAAAAAAATTGGTTGATATCAGTGTGTTCCATCATGTAGCATAAGAGGCAGATGTCTACACTATTTAGAAAAAATTAGTAGCATTGTATGAGAGAAAAACATATATGAATAAAGTTATGCTTGTTAAAAGACTTGTAGCTTTATAGTATAAAGATGGACGATCGATTACAGAGCACTTGAGTGATTTTTAAGATATATTTAATCAGATGACTACTATGAAGCTTAAAATGGATGATGAAATAAAGGCGTTATTTCTTTTGAGTTTATTGCCAGACAGTTGGAATACTGTAATTATGACTATTCTTAATTTAGCTCATAATTGCAATGTGACATTGAAGATGATAAAAGATAGTATACTTAATGAAAAAGTAAGATGAAAAGATGTAAACCCTGAGAATCAAGTTCTGGCCACAAAGAAAAAGGGTAGAAACATTGATAGATGTCAAAATTCAAAGGCCGTAGTTAGTCTAACTATAGATCCAAGTCCAGAGATAAAATGAAGTATTTTCATTGTAATAAAGCAGGTCATATAAAATGACACTGTAAAATCTTAAACCAAGAGCAAAAAGATGAGAAAGTAAAAGTTCAGATGATGGTAATATTACAATAGTGAATTCAGATAGTGATTCAGTTACTTTAATTTGTATATATGGTGATTGTAATCATGTTGGTGATCTCAGCATTTAGTGGATAGTTGACACAGGAGCAGCATATGATTATATTCCTAAGAGAAAGTTGTTTACAACTTACAAAGCTAAAGACTTTGGTTGCACCAAGATGAAAAACAAGAGTGTATCATAAATTTTTGGGATTGGTGATATTATTGTACAAACTAGTAGATGTTGCATGTTGACTTTAAGGGATGTTAGACACAATCCAGATATGAGAATAAACTTACTTGCTATTAATTTCTTTGATAAAGAATGATATGAAAACCGACAAAAAAATAGATAGTGAAAACTTCTCAAAGGATCTATGGTAGTTACAAGAGAAAAACTATGATGTACAATGTATAAGACATGTATGTAATTAAATGAAAACCAGATAAATGCCATTAAGGATGATGCTTTAGCAAACTTATGGCACAAGAGGCTGGCACGCATGAGTGAGAAGAGATTACAAGTTTTGACAAAACAGTCTTTCATTCCTTTGACCAAAGATATATATTTTGATTCATGTGATCATTGTTTGTTTGATAAGCATCATATAATTTTTTTCATAAGAGTTTTCAAAGAAAAGAACATAGATTGAAATTGATTTATTCTAACGTATGTGGTCTCATTGAGGTTGAGTCATTAGATGATAGTAGGTATTTTATTACTTTTATTGATGATGTTTCATGTAAGACTTGAGTGTATATGTTGAAATACAAAAGTCAGGTATTGTAGTATTTTTAAAAATCTCATGCCATAGTGGGAAAGATAACAGGGTTACCTTTAAAGTATATTCGAACTGATAATGGTAGAGAATACACATCCAAAGATTTTGAAGAGTACTGTTCAAAGCATGGGATCAGGTATGAGATGATAGAACCTAGAACACCGCAACATAAATATATAGCTGAAATGATGAATCGCATTATTGTGAAAAAGTCAGATGCATGTTGAGGATGGTAAAATTACCAAAGCCATTCTGGGGTGAAGTAGTCAACATAACTTGTTATTTGCTCCCTATCAGTTTCTTTAAGCTTTAACATTCTAGAAAAATAGTAGATAAGGAAAGATGCTTCATACTCTTACTTAACAGCTTTTCGATGTAAAGCCTTCATGCATGTGTCAAAAGAGCAGAAGTCAAAGTTTGATAGTAAAACAACACAATGTGTGTTTGTAAAATATGGTGATAAGAAATGTGGTAACAGGATATGGGATACAGTGAAGAGAAAGATAGTAAAAAACAAAGATGAGATCTTTCATAAAAAAAATCATAATAGACCTTAATAAAAATAAGAAGACTAGAAGGGTTACTGTTGACTGTAATGTCTCAATACCGATAGGGCTTCCACAGAAAAGAGTCACAGATAGTGAAAATAAGCAAGAAACAAAACTTAGAGATATGAATGAGCTAACCACAATTAGTAATGAGCCAGATGCAATCAATTTTGAGTAGGGAGAGCAATTTTTTCCACCAAAAATTGTTAAGTAGGGGGAGCTACCTTCAACATCGGGCGGTGTAGAGTTTTAACCTAAGAGATCTACTAAAAAGCACTAGCCATCTACCAGGTATCCAAGTTTAAATTTTATTTTAGTTACTATTAAATGGGAGCCAGAGAGCTTTCAAGATGTGCAGGTTACTCTAGATAGATAGCACTTATTTAAAGCAATAAAAGAAAAAATGAAGTTATTACAGAAAAATGATACATATAATCTTGTTAAACTTCTAAAAAAAATGAGGCCATTGAAAAATAAATGGGTGTTCAAGTTAAAAAAAAATGATGACAAGCTAATAAGGTACAATACTTGATTGGTGATAAAAAGTTTTTGTCAAAATCAGGCATCGATTTTGATGAGAACTTCACTTTAGTTGTAAAGATAAGTTTTATTCGAGTGGTGCTAGAATTAGTAGCTAGTTTGAATCTTGAGTTTCAACAACTTGATGTTAAAACTGCATTCTTATATGGTGACTTATAGGAGGATATTTATATGAATAAGCCTAAGGGTTTTGAAGTGAAAGAGAAATAGCACTTAGTTTGTAAACTGAAAAAAAAAAAGCTTGTATGGCTTGAAACAAGCTCCGCACAGTGGTATAAAAAATTTGATTCTTTTATGGTGAACCATAGCTATAAAAAAATGACAGCGGATCCTTATGTATATGTTAGAAAATTTCCTAATGGTAACTTTATTATTCTCTTATTATATGTTAATGATATGTTAATTGTGGGACAAGATATTGGTATAGTTTGCAGGTTAAAAGAA